GAGCTTCACTGACTGCACAGTGTGCAAATTTGTTTCATTTTTATTTTATTTGGCAGGGACACAGTATTTTTTGTACCAGATCATGGCTAGAGAAGCTTAGTTATTTTCATATGTAGTCCCTGGGTGTGCCATTCACAATAACACACCACCTGTACAGTGAGAAACAATTGTTGCCTGATGTGCTATTAAAAAAGTTGATTAAGAGTTGGGCCAAAGAGCATGATTTGTGACACCACAGTTTAGAAGCCAATCCTGGTCCAAGATTTAATGTTCAGAAGTGTGATGTGTAAACTTGAAGTGTGCAATACAAATGCCTACGATTGACTATAGTGAAGTACATAAGGATGCATCTTGTGTTCGGCAGGTAAACTTAAGTGAACAATGTTTGTTCAAACAATGACACTGATGAAATGGATTCCAGTTAAATTATCGTGTGGTTATTTGCTTTGCAGTGAATCGCACAATAGAAATACTTTTTTTAATAATACTTTTGAGTACATGTCAGAGCCTGTACTTTTTACTATATACCCTATACCGTTTGACTATAAGACTTCTACTATAAGAATCTCCTCTGTGCAACTATTCATGTAGTCAGTCAATGATCAAACTAGTAGCATGAATATGAATTACAGTCCAAGCGGGTTAGGCAAGGCAATTTTATTTGTATAGCCCGTTTTTACAAACAGTTTGTCTCAAAGGGCTTTACATAGCATGAGCATCATAACAACATCCTCTTCCCTTAAACCCTCACATCCACTGAGTAAAAACTCCCAGGAAAACCCTTTTAACAGGGGAAAAATTGCAGTTGGTGCAGAGGGATGGAGCTGTGGAGAATCTGTGGAATCACAGAGAGAGTGCGAGACGCCAAGGCCGAACTACAAGGTGCGAAAGGTGAGAGGTGGGGCTCTACTTAAATGTAGTTAGAGTGTCTGCCTCTCTGACCCATGAGAGAGCTGGTTCAACAGTAAAGGAGCCCAGTAACTGAAGGCTCTACTTCCCAGTCTGTTTTTAGAGATACTGCGAGTCACTAACGAACCTGCATTCTGGGAGCCAATAAAAACATTTAATAAGTCTCTGAATGACACATTATTGTGCATTTAAAGATGTATATTATTACATTACAGCATTATTTGTGTTTTGTCCTGGGATGACAATACAAGACTTCCATGAATGTGCATTTGAGAGAGACTTTGCTTTGTATTCCAGCCGGCCTGTTATGAGCAAATTTCTATAGGCTACTATAGATCCATTTCAAAACATGTTCCAAGTAGGCTATAGGACAAAGCATAATACATCCTGGAATGAGTGAAGCTTGCCTGCTGACATGTTAAAATGACTGTCACAACTGCCATGAGCAAAGAGTAATAACTGCGCCACCTTGTGGCTAAACATCAACTGCACTGAAGTCATCATAACTTCATAAGTTCTCATTTTCAAATGATTAAGAATACTATTATTGTTATTTGAAGCCGTGTCAGTCTTGACTGTGGGTGATGGGGTCCTCTGTGTCTGCTAGTGTCTATAATACAGTAATATTTTTGTTGACATTATCAAACGGAAGAACTTTGATTTTGAAGAGCACAGGGCAACGAAGCACACTAGCCAATCAGAGGACCCGCCCACCGACGGAAACAAGATATTGAGTGGTAAATTTGTTTTGTTAAGTAAGAACCAAAAAACGAATAAACGAGCTGAACTTTTGATTTTCGTTTTTTTGACAAAACGAAAAAATGGCTTGTTTTCTGGTTTCTGCTTGTGTCAATTATTGCCAGAAAACAGACTGATAAAACGTACCTTGCTCAAAAAAACAAACTGAGTTGATGTACTGCGAGTTGAGCTGCTCTCATTGCCTGGGTGGTTTCAACTTGTCCATAGCAGTAAACAATGATGGCTTACTTTCCAAAAATAGTTATGACATCAACCTGAACCAGACAGCTCTTCGGACCGACCGCAAAAAAAACCCCCAGTCTGTTGAAAATTAAAATATAATTTGCATTTATTAAAATATAAACAAATGTTTTCTTGCTGTATGATACAAGTTGTGCAGCTGAACCCACTGATGCATCAACAGGCTATCTTTCTCAACTATCTTATCAACCAGCTCACCCACCAATAACATAGCAAATTGACTGCTTAAATAAAGCAGTGAACACAGCAATGTTTCAAATATAGTGGAGAAATCAGCAAACATATGCCTATAAAGTCACAAGATAAAACATATTTCCTTTTGGGGACTTTAGGGGCTCCGTAGGTTTGTTATGAATGTGAGAAATTTAACTTGATACTCCTTGGAATTAATTCAATAACTGGAGGCAGGTCTAATCAGCTTAATCTGTTTTGACAGCTTTGGCTTCCAGCAGCAGTGAGCTTTCCCACTCACTCAAAGGGTCACATTCTGGATTTAGTTTGTTATTCTGGTCTCATTCCTTCCAACTGTATTGCAGATGAACTCCCTATAACTGATCATTTGCTTCTGTCGTTCAATGTCAAACTCACTCTCTCCTCAACAAAGCCCCCACGTGTCATCTCATTCTGTAACATTAAGAAAATTAATCCTGATGCACTTTCTTCTGGTATAAGCTGCCTCCTGAACACTCACAATTCATTCACCCCCGACAACTTGGCTTCCCACTACAACAACGGCCTCAACACCATTCTTAATTCTCTCGCTCCTCTTAAAACCAGGTCTGTCTCCTTCTCCACCTCTGCCCCTTGGTTCACTTCCGAACTACGGCAGATGAAAGCCAAAGGTCGACAGCTTGAGTGATTATACAAGAAAACTGGTCTTGTTGTTCACAAAGACATGCACAAAAATCACATTTTACAATATAAGGACTGCATTTCTCAAACCAAACTCAACTACTACTCCGGCATAATCTGTTCAAATGAAGGTAATTCGAAGTCACTGTTTTCTCTTCTCAACAATATTCTCAGACCCCCACCCCACCTGTACTCAACTGCTTTCTGCAACTCCCTGATGTCCTTTTTCAATCAGAAAATTCATCAGATCTACCTGCACCTAGGCCCAAGCTCCTCCCTCAGCACCTCCCCTGAACCCTGTTTGACGTCTCACTCATTCTCCTTCTTTCAGCTCCCCTCTGACTCAGATATCTCAGACCTCATCCTAAAGTCCAAGCCCTCCACCTGTCAGTTAGATCCCCTCCCCACAGTTCTGGTGAAAGCCTGCCTCCCCTCTCTGCTCCCCCTCATCCCTGCCATCATCCATTCCTCACTCTCCACTGGAATTGTTCCTGCACTCTTCAAAATTGCTGCCATCACTCCAATATTGAAAAAAACGTTGCTTCTCAAATTCATTGTCATCTAACCCTTAACAACCTGTACGAACAATTCCAGTCTGGTTTCCGCCCCCTCCATAGCACTGAATCTGCACTAATCAAAATCACAAACAACCTCCTCCTGGCAGCCGACTCTGGTTTATTCACTATTCTCATATAACATAACATCCATTTTCACTGCTACGCGGATGACACCCAGCTCTATCTCTCCAGCAAACCAAATCCCACTCTCCCACCTTCCTCCCTCACTGACTGCTTCACTGAACTCAAATCCAACTCCAACTTTCTTCAAACTAAACAGTGATAAAACTGAATTTCTTCTCATTGGCACTAAATCAACCCTTTCAAAAGCTGACAGTTTCTCCCTCACCATCGACCACTCCTCTGTTTCCCCCTCCCCTCGGGTTAAGAGTCTGGGTGTCATCCTTGACAGCACATTATCTTTCCAATCCCATATAAATAACATCACCTGGTCTGCATATTTCCACCTACGCAATATTCATCGGTTCTGCCCCTCCCTTTCTCCCCACTCCACTGCCATTCTTGTACACAGCCTCGTCACCTCCCGCATCGATTACTACAACTCCCTTCTCTTTGGTCTACCTCACAAATACCTCCATAAACTTCAACTGGTTCAGAACTCTGCAGCTTGGATCATCACCAGAACCCCCTCCATCCACCACATCACCCCTGTTCTGCAGCAACTCCACTGGCTCCCGTCAATTAAACCACTTTTGCAGTAAAATATTTTTATACAAGAAAGACCTGCTAAACCAGTTTGTGGTTCGTAGCCCACCCAACCTAATCTAATCTGCATTTCTGTAAACATGTTCGGCATTTGGATGTACAAATACACACAATATTCAAAAAATACATATCTACTAAGATCAGCACATTGGCCAAAATCTAGACTGACGACAATGTCAAGGTGGTGTAATGGATACCATTTGACAGGAAACTGACAACAGTTCATAAAGTAATCTGTACCAGGTTCAATGTCTCACCTTTATAACAAACAAAGCTAGCTAGTACATCAATTATTAAGCCTTCATATCTAACATCTGTGTGTAAATGTAAAAATCTATTTTCCATCTCAAAATATTAATTATTGTGATACTAACTGTTCTTTGCCTGGTTTCTTCTCTAAAACACTCCTAAAACCCAACACAGTCATTGTTCTTATGGAGTACAGGAAGTAGAAACGCTTTTTTATATGATTGCATAATATCAGAATTAAAATATGGTACAAGCAGGACAGTGGATAAGGGCAACTCAAATAGCACCAAAAACATCTGGTGTTTTCAATACATTATAACTTAAACCAAACTTAAAACTTAACTGTTTAACAAATTCAATCTGAGCTATTCCAATAAATTAACAATATCTAACAACATCCCATCTGAGGCTCTCTCCATTTATTTACTTTTTTATTTATTTGTTTATTCATTTATGTTTTTTCTTTTTAAGCTTACTAAAATCCAGCACTTTTGACAAAAAATGAAAAGGAAAAAACCCACTCAACAGCGGGGAAAAACACAACAAATCAGATTCAAATTTCTTTCCACTTTGGGAAAATAGTTCAATTCAAATAGCAGCACTTGCCAGCTATGGGATAAGTGAAGCAACCATACCCGCCTCACTATGCTGATAAGAGAAAAAAGGTTAACAAACATACTGTTCATCAATACACAACACTTAACTTACCAAATATTCCAAGGGGAAACCATGCACAATCCTCAGGGACACCAGGCACCTGTACTGTAGTGATAGAGTCTAAAGTTCTGTGTACTAATGGCCTCGGGTGACAAAAGTACGACAAAGATGAAGAGGTGTGTTCACCTGTATGCCTTTATAGATGGTAAGATTAGACTTGTTGATATAAGATCTCGAGGATAGGTAGTAGGATGGCATCTCTCAGGGTGAAGACAGTGTGGTGACATGCTGAGTGAGGTCATAATAGATCCTTTAATTTAAATGAATGTATATTGATTTAAATGCTTTCCTGCCCATAAGACTTGTTGCTCTATGTTCATCTCTCTGACAGTTGTTTAGTATGTCATGCCTGCTTTAGTTTATTTAGGTGTGGTTTAACTGGGTGTGTGTGATTCTGTGGAATCTTGGCAACATTAGCTGTTGCTGGGGGATGTGTGCTGCATGTATCAAGTGTGTGTTTTTAAAGTAGATTTTCCACATTCCTCTCTGGAAAGTTAAAAAATAGGTTAGCCTACTTCAGTCAGACTTATAAGGAGGTTTTATTTTAACTAGTTTAGTCCAGCATGATGGTCATTTTGTAAATTATGCTTAGAGTAAAATAGACAACCACACAAAACTCCGATCCAGCAGTCAAACTAGGCAGGCAACACTATTGGGGGATCTATCAGTTTTACCAATCAATGCAAGAGGTAATACTCACTTTATCAGACTAGCCCTGATCGCAGCTAATAAATGCATAGCCATTCACTGGAAAAATGAGGAGTCCCCTGTGGTTTCTTTGTGGCTTAAAGAGCTCTCATCATACTTAACATCAGAGAAGATCATGTTTAATCTTAAGAAAAAGCTGTCACTCTTTGATAAATGTTGGGGAGGATTTGTAACCTTTCTACATAATAGAATATCTCTTAACTGTTATTGTTATTGTTTGGAAAACTTTCAATAAATAAATTGTAAAAAAAAAAAAAAAAGATAGTGAAAGATTGTGGTTTTAATTAAATGTAAATATACAGAGATGTTGTATCACATGCAAATTTTTTAGGGGACTGTGTTGCCATGTTTTTAAAGTACTGTAGTGCAAACACTGCATTTATTCATATACATAGCCTTTCAGTGGTATACACCCTTGTGTTTGTGGAAGCACTTGTTCCTTGTGTTTATTCCTCGGTTTTTATCGCAGTGATTTTCTGTCACCTATGAAGAGAAGTGAAATTTCACCAAGCTAATGAGAAGCAGGGGAAAAGCTGGAGCCTAAGGCTAAACTCAAACTTGTGTTTGTATAATTTTTGGTTATTATTTGCAACAGCTATTTCTATTGGATATTATTTACTTGCAATCTGTGAGTTAATCAGCTATAAGTGGTGCACTTATAGACCACACAATGTATGGTCACTGTGTCAGATTAGGTGATTACAGTTGCGAGTGAGTTGGCCGGGGCATGTGGCAGACTACATCAACCCACATCAATCCCAGGCGTGTTTCACAAACTGCGAGACGCAAAGAGCTGATCAGAAAGGTGGTGCACAGGGCCGACTACACTCTTCCACCTGCCAGTACCAACATCTTTCACTTCCATATGTCTAGAGTTGTGGAAGAAAGTGCTCTGAGCTCCTATTGGGAAACAAGCTTTTTTACCAACTACCATTTACAAATAGGGGAACCACCCCCCCCCCAAAAGAAAAATAACAACCCGCTTTTAAAATAAAAATTGAAAACAAAAAATGACATGTTTTCTCTTTTTTGTTCCCCTTTTTATGGATGGTTGTTGGGAAAGATTTTGTTTTTCTCATTTCAAAACGCAAATTGTTTGGACACAAAGTCCACTGACCCTATTGGTCAGTGTCACTGAACATACAGTAGAAGCTTTTCAAACTAACTCAAACTAAGTGAAAGAAAGTACAAACATGAAATGTCTTTTTCTCTGTGCTGCATTGTTTTCCACTGACTCAGATCATAAGAGCCAGAGGAATGATCACAAACCTGATGTTCTGCCCTGGCTAAGCACATAAAACATAGAAGATGACATTTATGAGATTAACAAGAACAGGAATACTGATCCCATAATTACAAAAGGTGTAGTGTATACCCAGGACCAGACAAGTTCATCTGGTTGCCTTACTTTCAGTTATATTTTGAAACAAACAGCCGCTGACACTGTGGCAGTATTTGATGACTTGGGAGCGAGACGACTGTGTTCCTCAACTTCAAAAATGAACAATATAACTGAGAATTGTATTTGGGTTGCATGTATGAGTAATACGTCGCTTTAATGGCTGTCTTAGAGGCGAGGAGGGAAGAAAGAGATGCTTTCCATTTTAATTCCAAGGCAAAAAACAGTAAAGAGGCCTTGAGTGCTATTGATCCACTCAGCCAGGCCTGGAATACATCTCAGTGTAGGAGGAGATAGAAAGTAATGTAATCTAAACAATTTTGTAAACTTCCAAGGACTGGGGTTGCAGATTGAAAACGGAGGAATTTGTCAGATTAGGGGAGACTATTCTCTGTTTATGCTATATTGATCACCTCAAATTTTGATGTTGATGTCTGTCCTGTCATGTTGCACTGAAAGTAGCTGACTTTGACACTACCCACCTGTCACTCAAAGTGGCCATGCCCTTAATCATGCAAAACTGTAAGCCTTAGGTGAGTTATAAAAAAAATCACCCCCATAGTTTTTTGTACCAGGCGGTAAACATGTTTATTCATGCTGTAAAGTTGGGTATTTCACACATTTTATTTGTTCCACACTTTCACATGTTTCTAGAAAAACATAAAATGCCTGAGCTACTTTAATCTCAGTAAGCAGATGGTAAAGAGGTTTTGCCCATGGTGTGAACCCAGAGACAAGAGTGTGACACATTTATCAAGCTTATCAGTTGGACATACTGAAGTGCTACTTCCTATAAAATAAGGCAGTGCAGTGAGCAAAATGTTCTCTTTGCTTTGTTTGGGCTTGAACATATTTATTGCATTGCAATAAAAGAGGAACAGAGTGTTAAGAACGTCCACTGGATTATGTTTTGACTTGAGACTGGACCCCACTTCACTGTAATTTTCCTGCCAGTTATCCTGTCAGTTACCTGTTTCTGGGAATCTGGCCACACAGACAGACAGACAGACAGACAGACAGACAGACAGACAGACAGAGAGAGAGAGAGAGAGAGAGAGAGACACTTTTGTGTTTTTCACAAAAGCTTCCACTAGATGGCACCACCTCTCGGCTCCGGGGTCTTTGTAATTGGTGGACATTAGCACTCAGAGAAATGTAATCCATAATGAGAGAACCAGCTTACTTCTAGCTTCTCAAGTCACCCACTGTAACATTTATGTAGTTTTGTTTGTACAAATTAAAAGAAATAGTAATAATTTATTCAAGTACACTATAGAAGGTTTGTGGTAATGTATTTTTTTTTAATATGCATTATTCAACAAAATCTTTGTACTCTACTGCCTGATAACTCTTTCCTTCAAATTAGAAACCAGCTTGTTTTTGCTGGTTGTGCATTTGTTTATAGCACATTATAATTATAATGTAGTGTGTATCACAGTGTAATAACACATACACACAGCACAGATATGTTTGATGTGCTTCCAGTTCGGCAGTTAAACACAACTTTGTATTAGAACTATAATTACTTGAACCTGTTTTACAGGGTAAAGTAATGAATGTGGATCTCAGCCAGTTCTTGAACTTTGAACTTTGCATGTTATTGCTGCAGATGGATGCACAGTGCAAAGAACATATGTGGACATACATTTTGATGCAAAAAGCAGATTTATTTATGTAGTTTTTCCTCCTTAAACCTGCTGTGCTTCATATAGACCAACAGAGGGAGCTGCACAAATATTCTTACTGCTAGATGTTTTTGTTGAAGGGGATCACTGTGTCTGTTTCCCTTTAAAAACAACAGAACACTGCAGCTTAATTTTAATGCACTTGTTTCTTACTCATTTCACATTCTTTTTTTTAAATACTGAATATACTGAATGATTAATATATGAGTGTATGTGGGTATTGTAACTGCTATACATATGACAAAACAAGAAGAATGAAGCCTGTAAATAAGTTACATTGAAATATTTGTTCACACTGTGAAAAGAACAAAGGTACCTTAAGCTCTTAACAGTAAAGGGTCGGTTCACAGTTTTGTGCCCATTTACACACTGTAACACGTTTTGCTTGCTGTAAAAAGCAGCAGTCTCGGTTGGACAGATCTATGGGTATCATCCCAAGTAGTGTTATTATTCCTCTGACACACACAGAGGGAATTTGGTACCACAAAAACTTCCCCACTTGAATTCATTAACTCAGACTGATGAAGCCTCATACTATCTTCAGATAAGCCATGGAATGTATTTTACACAGAACAAGGGATCACTTACATTAGAAACACATTAGGAGTGGACCTCTTAAAGGTCAGTATAAACGGGAGGAAGGATCACAGTAGCCAAAACCTGTTTCACTGTTCCTAACGAGACCTGACCGTTGTTTTAAGGCAGACTTAAAAACTGTGAACCCATCCAAGTCAAAGATTTGAGTGCTTCTTTCACAACTGGTGCTGTCAGAGATTCTTGTTCTCCAGATGTCGTCTTTTCATATGCCATGTATGTGCTGCATCCCTGTGAATGTGCAGGATGTGATAAAGTGATTTTCAGGAGCAGCAGTATTACTTTACTGCTCCTCTGCAGTTGGTCATTCCCATTGGGACTGAAAGTGGCACAGTAGCAGATGGAAGTACAATCAGACAGTACAGACTGTAACCAACAAACAATCTGATACAATACAACCAACCTGCCATCAGCACACAGTTAACAAAAAAGGCCAAAATAGAATCAGTAACTCAAACAAACAGTAAACAGGATCAGTTCCACCACATCACAGTGCCTGGAACTTCAGCATGTGAAACATTTTCCAAAATATATTTAAACTTTTTGCAAAAAGGAACCACATTTCCAGTGTGTTTCAATGATTGCATAGTCAAAATTGGTAAAATATTACAATATCTATGAAAATGTTGTGTCCATTGTCCTCTTCTACCGGGTTCGCAATGGCTCTAGATAGAGCCTTTGATGAGTTTTGCAGCTGCTGTTGTTTCTCCTACATGCTTGGTTGAGGCGAGGGATCTCAGTTGGTTGCAGTCTCACTGCTAGATACCACTAATTCACACAAACTGTACCTGTAAGCTCAGATTCAGTGTGAGCACAGAGGAACTTTCCACTTTCAGCAGATGAATGTGAAAACAGCCTCCACATGGAGGAAGTAACATATTGATTTCAGCTTCTACCTCTACTTCAGCACAACTCTTTTGTTTTTTTGTGGGTTA